ACAACCCAGCATTCCCACTACTGGGCATATACCCTGAGAAAACCATAATTCAAAAAGAGACATGTACCACAATGTTCATTGCAACTCTGTTTACAATAGCCAGGACATGGAAGCAATCTAAGTGTCCATCGACAGATGAATGGATAAAGAAGATGTGGCACATACATACAATGGAATATTACTCAGCCATAAAAAGAAAGGAAGTTGAGTTATTTGTAGTGAGGTGGATGGACCTAGAGTCTGTCATACAGAGTGAAGTAAGTCAGAAAGAGAAAAACAAGTTACCGTATGCTAACACATGTATATGGAATCTAAAAGAAAAATGGCTCTGAAGAACCTAGGGGCAGGACAGGAATAAAGATGCAGACGTAGAGAAAGGACTTGAGGATACGGGGAGGGGAAAGGATAAGCTGGGACGAAGTGAGAGAGTGGCATGGACATATATACATGACCAAATGTAAAATAGATAGCTAGTGGGAAGCAGCCGCACAGCACAGGGAGATCAGCTCGGTGCTTTGTGACCACCTAGAGGGGTGGGATAGGGAGGGTGGGAGGGAGACGCAAGAGGGAGGGGATATGGGGATATATGTATACATATGGCTGATTCACTCTGTTATACAGCAGAAACTAACACACCATTGTAAATCAATTATATTCCAATAAAGATGTTTAAAAAAAATGACAAGATATGCTCTCTGATGACATTGTTTGAACATCTGGGTATAGCCTCATGTGAAATTACAGTCTTTGCTGGACCTTTTAGTTGTGTGGGCCGAAAAACTCCTCCACCCCCTTTTTTTTTTTAAAGCTAGTTAGATTTTATTAAGCCAGTAAGTTAGATTTCTCTCTCATTCACAAAAGAATCCTATCTTTTTGAGTATAGAAGAAATTGGAGACTAGAGGCCGGAAAGAAGATGAGAGAGACAGAGAGAGATTCTGAGATTCCTGGAAAAGAAAATTAGACTCTTAGGTTGCTGAAGGCCCTGAAGATTAGCTAAATTAAGCCACAACTAGAGAACAAAACATGGACCAAGCCAGATTTGGGCAGGGGGTTGAGGGCTAAAGAAGTTCATCAACTGTTAACACAGGTGGTCATTAGAAATCAGAGGCCCTGCCTGGGTTTCTCCAGAATCCAAGATACTAAGTCAGAATGGTTAAAGTTTCATTAAAGGCTGATGGCAAGACAGTGATGTGGGGCGGAGCCCAGGCTCAAAGGCTAATATGCGTATCAAGCTGGTCCAAGCTAGACTTGAGAGAGCTGTTTACATTTATGAAGACTGTTTTCACACGCATTTTGTATCCTGGAATTAATCACAATACAGAGTTTATTTACATTTAGAAAGTTGTCTGAAGGTATAGAGGATTCACCATACAGAATAGGGATGGGAGGAAAAGAAGCCAGATTACAGTATCAACATGTGGTTCTGAAGGGAAAAATACTTTCTTGACTTTTGGGGTTCTAACTGCCCATCGGGTATGACTCTTCAGCAGGTTTCACCAGTGTCCCCCATGACTTAGAATGATGTTGAGTCAGTCTCTGGTCACAGACCAACCATGCAACCATTCTATCTTAGGTGGATCTATTTGCAAATGGGCAGGCATTGTGGCCAGCAGATACAACTCTATTTGTTCCAGCTTAGTACAAAAATGGCCCCAAAGTAGCTTACTTACAGCTTAGTTATACTGGGTAATCTATCTTTCAAAACTCTAAATACCGTCTCTAGCTTCAAATGATACCTGAGGCTTTTATGAATCTATTGTCTTTATCATGTTGGAGGTTGAAACTCTCCTAATGTCTGGATTGAGCACCTGTACTCATATAAAAAGATACTTCAGTGCAGTGGTGAAAATATAAATCAAGACAAAGCAAGCACTTCTGAAGCTTCAGTATAGAATACCTGCCCAGCCAAGGCTATCAGAGTAATGTGTGATAAATGATCAATGCCACTCTATGCACTAGGGTACCAAGGCCAATAATAGGGATCCCTCAATATTAGGGATCTGGTTGGTCTGGGACCAACCAGAACATATATGTCATTTGAATTCAACTGTTTATAAACATCTAAAAGGAAAGGGGAGGATCATCTAACCATTATAGTAAAGAAAAAATATAATATTTTCTATTTCTTAAATTTAACCAGAGGGTAACATTTTAAAATACCACTTAGGTTACATCATTAACTTCACTGCTGGAGATGATGCACTGAACAGATGAAGTGATACACTTGCTTTGTTATTGACACATTGTCTGCCTGAGCCCCTGGTTTTAGAATAGGATAAGGAAGTCAGGAACTGGAAAACCTAAGCAGCTACAGGCATGATTATAATTTCCTTGAGACAGTGCTGGTCTATTATTATTCCATCTAAATATGAAGAAGTTTATAAAAACTTATAACATATTTTGGAGACTGTATTTATCTGATGCTATATCACTGTGATTCAGAAAGAATAGCAGAGGTTGATAGAAAGTGTGCTTGAAAAAATGTCAAAAATCAAAGTGATAGAAACAGTAAGTAAGTTTGGAGCAGAAGCTAAAATGGACTATAGATAGTCTCCTTTTCTTACTTATTATGAATACATAAGAATTTTATAAAACATTGTGATGTAACACTCAATACCTTGTGTGGTATCTAAGAACTCATTGTGAATGAAAAAAGCCTCTCTAGCAGTCATTCATTCAAAAAGTTCCTGTTTGGTATTTTCTCAGTTCTAGCCACCAAGGAAAGAACAATAAACATAATAGACAAGGACCCTGGTGGCTATCTTTGAGAAGCTTGGAGATTAGCAGAGAGATAGAGGTTACAAAAATAATTACACATATAAAATAATTACACATATACTCTATATTGTGCTAAGTCCTAAGGTGGAAAAGCACAGGATGTCATGAGAACAAATCACAAGGGTAACCAACAGCAGACATGTCAGTTAAGGCATTCCT